GTATGCAAATAAACCGTATTGTATGCCGATTTGGGCATCAACTAAATGCTCAAACTAATACGCGTTTACCTACTGAAACAATAGGCTGTTTGTAAATTCTCGTTTTGTAACATTTAGAAATTTGCCAATGCCAAACATGCAGATAAACATGAAGCTGACGAAACGACTCAGCTAAAAAGCCAAGAAGACAGCGTCATCAACCATACAGACAACGGTCCACTGAAATATGTCATTATTGACTGCTCTTCGTTTTCCTACATTGACCTTAGCGGTGCAGAGACATTGAAGAAACTGCACATCGAATATGGATCCGTCGGCATCACCGTTCTCTTCGCCTGTTGCAAAAGTGATCATAGGGCAATTGCCATTAATTCATGTCTATAATCTGATTTTCAGCTTCGGTACGAAGTTTCCTTTCGCAATGCGGATTTTATGAAGAAGTTCCTAAATCAAGCTTCTTCGTTTCGATACACGATGCAACGTTATTCTGTTCATACAAGGAAACTTTTGTCAAAGAAGAAAATTGAAAACACCGAAACTTCTGAGCTGGTGCTCGTGGTAAGTGAACGTGTCGTCAAGCGGCCAAGGGAATTACGCAAAACCCATGTTTGAAGTGCTGTTACCAAATGGGGTATTCATTTGCGTGAATCAAACTATAAAAAATCGTCAGAGAAAAGTACAGAGAGAACAGTAAAGATCATGAGCTTAACAAATAGCTTTCATTGTCTAAATCTATCTCACGGCATGCGTATGAATATGGACGTAGTTTCTGAATGGCACCTCTATGCACAACGGAGGACACCAGTGAAACGGTACTATGGTTTCGCGATGCTCACGCTTTACTGTACTGTACCAACAAAAATTGCTTTTCAGTATACTTTACTAAAAGTGGACTTGTGATACCATTCTAGGGCAAATCGTTCTTTCCTGTTTGGCACCTTTTGCTGATATAGTAACTTATCAGGTAGGTTAGGATAAATTCATCGTGAAACGCGCGTCAGACCTTTACGTCATATGCCTCGCAAGCCTTGATATGAACATACTAGAAAACCAAGCTATGTAAACCGTTTTCAGGCTATCGACTTGCCCTTTACGTTTTAGTTGGTTGGTTGCTCCGAAGAGCAATGGAACAGATTCGTTGTTCAGAGAAATTCGCAGCTAATATAAAAAATGTATTCCAGTTACCCAGGCTGTCTACAAACTTTTCACTTGCAGCTTTCACCAATATAATACACCGGAATACGAACACACCAGAATCATGCTCATTATGAAAAACTGAGAACGTACATACGGAAACATCAAAAGATTTTCACAGGATGTAGCATGTTATTTTTGCTGCTGCAATGGTCAGTCTTTCGGCCTTGCCATTCAACGAGATACAGCGTCCAATGGCACCTTTACGCGTTGCGAGGTGGTCGAAAGCG